GACCACGGAGACAAAATGTTGCGCAACGCAACGCACTGAAAGTCGATACTCAGGTATGTGTGTTTACTTATCTAAATCGAAATTGTTATTATGATACGTTTTGTGCCGTAGATGGTTAAATATTGTCCGGTGTGTGACTTCATGACTGTTGGCCATAAGCTTGGGAGGCACCTTGCAAACCGCCACAGGTCGCAGATAAAAAAGCCCCGAGACCTCAACATCAGAAAGATATGCCAACACATTGCCTCGGAATCCCGCAAGTCCTATTCCGTTGTCCCGTTGCGGGTGATAGAGAAGAAGTTGGGCCCATATTGGGATGACAGGTGTTTTAGAAGCATCGCCCACGAGTAAATTGTGCAATATATCAATATTTTTTAGCACCATAGTTAATTTGTTGTTTCCGTTTTAGACTTACGACCATGGGAAGGATGAATACGTATGGCGGAAGTTGGAATCTTCCTGATGTAACAGATACGTCAAACCCATTTGAGGAATTTTTCACCGATAGCGATTTCGGTCCCGATACACCGGTGATGAATGTATCTGCGACAACCTGGCGGGTGCCAGTTCCTTCTTATACCGGAAACCTCCGGCGAAACCATTTCGATACCTGGACCTTCCGGCACATCAGGCAGACCAGCCGACACGGAAAAACGTAACGATTGACAAAAATCAATGCACAATCTTCGGAATCGTGAGTATTGCCTAATAAATAGTTCGAGTCGAAACCTGCGATTAGTGTACCAGACCACGAGGCAAGTGACCTGATGGGTTCACGCGGCTGGGTCTTGTGCCACCGAAGGGCCATTCCATTTTATATTTCTCAAATTTCTTAATTTCGATTATTGATGAATCTTTACGACGAAAGTTGGCTTGTTTCGGTCGGAAGTCTACACTCAGCGTGATTGCAATTTTTTTACTGCTTTTATTAGTTGGTTAAGTTTTTTTTTTAGACACTTAGATTAGATATCTAGGTACCCGAAAACTCCCCATCGACCGTTGCGATAATTTTTAATTTAATTTTACAAGTTTTTACCATCGGCCACCAGAGGGCAAATTCACGAATTTTTTTTTTTCTTAGGCGCGTGTATCCGGTGCCAAATTATAATTTTTTTTTTAAATTATATTTTCCAAACGTTGGTAGTTCAGGGAATTTCAACCCGTCCGCCAGCAGCGGTGTTCTCGAGCAATATCCGAACATTTCGCTACCCGAATCGCAGCGCTAGTGTCGCGGTATATACGATTGTATATGTTCCTATCATTTGACAAATATAATTTTTCGATACTAACCGAACACCTGTCCCTCGGTTTTTTAAGCGTTTTTAAGTTGTTTTCAAAACGTATAATGGGCCGCGTTTATATGTTTACTGTCCTTATCATATGTAGGCTTTGGTGGCCTAGAGGTTTTATTATTTACAGTGTACTAGAATTAGTGTTTCTCACCAACAGTTGCTTAATTTTCGAGATGTCGGGAATGAATTTTGCCCTTGATGCTGTGAAATCTGGTCAATTGTCTGCTGGTCAAGCCGCTCGGCAGTTTAATGTACCAGAGACAACCCTACGCGAGTATTTGAAGCGTAGTTGCATCACTCCGGGAATCGTAAGTTTTCTTTGTTTCATGCTTGTTTTGATTATGACGTTTCCGTTTAAATGTAGGCGTCCAGAGGCTATACCAAGGTTTCTAGTAATACAAACTTAACCGCTGCTATTAAGTTGGTACACGATGAGGGGTTGCCCGTGAATGCTGCATCCAGAATTGACAAAGTTCCAAGAACGACCCTACGAAAGGCATTAAAAAACTATGAGAAGATTAAGCGTAAAGACAATTTTTATTGAACCTTATAGTCAATTAACTTTATTTAAATATTTCTATATTGTAGATGTACTTCCTCCACCGGATGTGTTTCAACCGATTGAGACCGTCGTTAGGCCAACCGTTCTACACGAGGACACGGCAGACGTGGGTACCGTCGCAGTGCCACTCATTATTGAAGAGGACGTGGAGGTTGAAGAACCCGTCGCAGCGGAACCCGTTCTACACGAGGACACGGCAGACGTGGGTACCGCCGCAGTGCCATTCATTATTGACGAGGACGTGGATGTTGTAGAACCCATCGAAGCGGAACCCGTTGGCCAGGATGTTGGACCTACGACGGTTGTTAAAAGTAATAAATAATATTCTGTTTTTGATATTTTTAATACAACAAATGTTCGTTACCCAGATGTGCTAGTTTTCGGGAAAAAGAGTGGAAGGGCGAAGACTGTTGAGAAGACCGTGGAGGTGCACACAAAATCCGCATATTATCCGCGTCGACCACAGTGGTCTAAACCTGACGGTGAGTATTATTAAAACTTGTAATATCAGTACGACAATAAGAAAAGCTTTTTTAATTACAGACACCGAAATCCATGTCGAAAACGACGAAATCATTGATTTCGTAGAGGATATCGACGACGAAATGGTTGTTGAAACCGTTCTTAATTGTAAGTAAAATTCATGACTAATTCATTCTTCATAAACGTAAAGTTTGTTTTTTCAGCCCACATACACTTCGACGATTCATCAAACGACCAGTTTCCAAATCCAACGTTTGTTATGGTTAACTCCGATACCATGGAGGGTAGCGTTGGTGAACTACCAGGACACCCTCGTGAGTATACTCATTTCCCTCTAACTGTTTTTTTACGGACTGTAGCCATTTTATGATTTCAGCCACTCCACGGCCGTTACTCGTTGAGGAAATATTTACGCCGTCGCCTACACCATCGCCACATTTATTAGAGTTGCCGCCCTCTTCTATGACTTCACCATCGTTACCATCAGCTTCACCGCAACCTCTTTTACCAGGGAGATCGCCGCCACCGACTACCGACCCGTATGAGTTTGTCTTGAGCGAGCCGGAGTAGTATATATTTGTATGTTCTGCGTCCATTTTTACAGGGGAAAAAAAAAGTTCAAGGGGGAAAGTCTCCCTTACAGTACTTTTGACCACCGCGTAGCCAAAATCTCAAAAACCCTAATGTATGTTCTGGTCCATTTTTACAGGGGAAAAAAAAAGTTAAAGGGGGAAAGTCTCCCTTACAGTACTTTTGACCACCGCGTAGCCAAAATCTCAAAAACCCTAATGTATGTTCTGCGTCCATTTTTACAGGGGAAAAAAAAAAGTTCAAGGGGGAAAGTCTCCCTTACAGTACTTTTGACCACCGCGTAGCCAAAATCTCAAAAACCCTAATGTATGTTCTGCGTCCATTTTTACAGGGGAAAAAAAAAATATACTAGTGGTTACACTGAACTTTTTTATTCAGTTCTACTAAAATTAATTATTTAAAAAAAATAACACAAAGTTGGTTACACTATATTTTATAAAATGTTTTCATTTTAATAGTCGATTATTTTTTTTATTATGTTCAGTTACTAGTGATTAGCTGTTTGACGAAGTTGTATTTCATTCTCTTCAATTTTCTCATAATTTCATTAAATTGTTTTCAAGTTATTATAAATTTTTTCAAAAATGAATTTTCAAAAATGTACAAACGATGTCCAGTCATTGGTCAACCAAATACGATTCAATTCAACACCAGCATACCCAGAATTCTCCACGTTTTCCTCGAGATTAAAAACGTTCAAAACATTTCCATCAAATAGTACACAGAACAAATATAAATTGGCCGAGTCTGGGTTTAAGTATATAAGTGTCGATGACGCAGTTGAATGTCATTGGTGTTCAATAATTTTGCATGCCTTTGAATTCGGAGACGACATATTTCTTGAACATACACGGTTCTCACCAAAATGTATATTTGTATTATTAACGAAGGGAAATCAGTATGTGCAAAAAGTGTTAAGTAAATATTGTAAAATCGAAGTTATTTGTAATTGTGTAACCGATTCATACGATACCATTTGTTAAATCATGTTTTTATGTACTGTTTTATAATATATGATGCAATAAATAATAATAAATATTGAATTTTAAAAAATCAACTTATATATGCTAGTTTTGAATTTAATATCTCGTGGACGTATGGTTTAGTGGTTTAGTGCGTATAATTTAAATGTTTTTCAGGTTAGTAAGTATAATGTGTAATTCTCCCCTCCTAGTATGCACTAATCCACTAAGCTGTACGTTCACATTTTTTTGCATTTTTTTTTTTTTATCTAAGAGTGTAGTATATAATATGTTTACAAAGGAAAAACTCTCAGTTCAATGTATGACTCCATCAGTTATATCTAACTTTATATTTGTGTTAGACGTGAAAAAATCAAAATAAATATTTTAACTATTAAAATAAAGTTATCAAAATAATTCCACTATGAGTTCACCGATAATTGTCTGCAAGTCTACTTTTGACATCCGTGCTTACAACAAGAAAAGTATTACAGTTGGATTATTAATTAATAAGCAGATTTCAATTATTATAATTCTAGAATGTAAAGTAACTAAAAAGAGTTTAAACCTTGATCTAGACCAATGGCTTTCATTAATGTGTGAAAATAATTATACATCAATTATTAATAATCTACAAAAACGATGTATAACTATGATTTTTTTTGGTGTCTGTCATCACCTTTTAGGACAGTAAAAGTGCTTGGATTTTCTCAAACAGTATATTTTCTGATTGGAAAATGAATTTAGTTGTACTTTCAAATTTAAATTTACCAGTACTTTTCACAAGCGCCGAGAAAAACAACATAAAAATTAAGGAAAAACGGGAATTTTTACGCAAAATCGGTTTCCAAAAAATCGATTTTGGTTTTTGATGTAACTGTAAAACAAATGAATGTATATACATGAAATTTTCACTGGTTGTTTATATTTGCATAACATTTTCCAAATATTTTGACTTATTTCGAGGTCTTTACGGACATTGTCAGTTTTCATTTTTATTTAGTTTTTTTTTCTAAAAATATCAATTAAATTTTATTTGTTGGTTATAAAGCTTGAAAATTTTATAGAATGCTCCTAGTATATTGTTTCAAAGGCAGATGAAAATATTAAAAATCTTTAGTCACAGTTTTTTTTTATAAGCATTTAAAGTTCAAAATTGACAAAATATGGAAAAATCACGAAAATTAGCATATTATTTTGAGTTAAGAATTCGTAAAATTTTTCTTTTTAAATCTAATCTTTTAAAATGTATTTCTTATACCTAGAGTGACTACCATCATCTCCACTCAGAATCGTTTTTCTTATACAATGATATTATATCATTGAAGTCAAATGTAATACCATCCATTATACAGTGACCCACTTGTAACCTACTGTACAGCAGAGCGACATCCACTTGCCCACATTTTTTATATCTATTTTGATCAAATAAAGGTATCAAATTGCGTATAAAATAAACCTCACGAAATACGTAATATAACAATATTAATGTAGGTATTCCTTGTTATATATTTTTTTTTATTTATATAGACGAAGATTGTAAAAAGAGATGGCGATCTATAAGAGACCATTACAAGCGTCTTAAAAGAGAAGGGAAATTAGGAACCGGGTCTGCGGCTCGCAGAACAAAGATTTGGCCCCTGCTTACCAATTTATCATTTCTTACCCATGTTTCGGAAGAAAGAAGGTCAGTATAAAAATAAATGTAATTTAAAAGTATTGAGAAAAAATTATATTTAATTAGAGTATTATATATTACTATAATATTAAATTAATTTTTAATTTTTTACAGATCTTTATCTAATATTCCTGATATAGACCAAGAAGATGAAGACATAAATATTACTGATAACGATGATGATACTGTAACTGAGAATCAAAATATTATGGAATTGAGCAGCTCTTATAACGACGATTCTCAACAAATAGTACATTCGCCTCCTACAAGTGTAACTTCTAAAAAAAAAAAAAACAAAATTTGATAAAGTTTCTGATTTATTAATTCAGAATAAAAATGCAAGACTGAAGCTAATTGAGACATTAAACAACAAGAAGATGTATGGCGAGGAAGATGATGTAGACGCTTTTTACAAAAGCATAGCAATTTCAGTTAAACGTCTACCGCCATTATTAAGAGCGGAAGCCAAGATGCAACATCTTCAAATATTAAATAACCTTGAAATGAAAAATGCTCAAAATGAACATCAAAAGCTAGCTTATCCTCAACCTCCAAGACCGATAGATAACACAACCATTCAGACATTTAATCCATCTTCTTTTGAAAGTTATCCACCAGCTCACCAACAACAAGGATATTATCAATTATAAGCATAAAAATATTCTAACATTTTTATTTTACTTAAAAAAAGTGCTTTTGTCAATATTTTTATTTATAATACTCAACTTTGTATTTATTATAATAAACTCCAGATACCAGTATGATGAAGTATATTATGTTACAATTTAAAAGGTAATACAATATAAATACATTGGTAATAATAAGTAATAATAAATACAAACAATTACAAGGTAATAAGTATAATTATTATTTATTATATAATCACATTAGATTCTCGAAACTACATGTTCTGCCAATTCACTTTGCCTTCCTCGTGAAGAACATTTGAAGCATCTCGTACTTCAAAACCTTCCACGTTTCCATATCCTCACATCTTGCCAATGGTCGCATAGTTGTTTGCGTGTTGGTTAATTCTTCATGTACGATTTGTGTATTTATTTCTTCGTATCCATCGCGAATTAAATTATGCAAGCAACATGTGGCTGTAATTAATAAATCGCATGTTTCTGGTTTAATTGCGATCGGTGTATAAAATACTCTAAAAATTTGGCTTAACAAACCAAATGCATTTTCAGAAACTCTCCTAGCACGAGATAAACGATAATTAAAAACACTTTTTTCGAAATCGGCTTTAGCTTGTGCTCTATTAAAAGGTTTCATAATACGTTTATGTAACCTGAATGCCTCATCTCCAACTATAACATAGGGTAAACATTTGTCAGAACCAGGAAGTTGAATATCCTCAGAAGGTAACCCAAATTTCTCTGTATAGATCCGTTGTCCCATGACAGATTTTGAAAAAATACCACTGTCACCCTCTTTGCCATAAGACCCGACGTCTATTGCTAAAAATTTATACTTAGCGTCAACAATCGCTAACAACACAACAGAAAAATAATTTTTGTAGTTGAAGTAGAGGGATCCCGTTTGGTCTGGACACATAACACGTACATGTTTCCCGTCTATGGCTCCAACACAGTTTGGAAAATTCCACCTCTCCCAAAATTCTGATGCTCGTGTTTTAAAATCATTTTCAGTTGGTGGTGGTAAAAGAATAGGCATAAGATTTTCACATATAGCTAGTAATACTTCTTTTACAATATTTGATATTTCGCAATGTGAAATTCGAAAATTGAAAGAAAATGATCTATACGATTCGAGTAGTATATATTTGTATGTTCTGCGTCCATTTTTACAGGGAAAAAAAAAAAGTTCAAGGGGGAAAGTCTCCCTTACAGTACTTTTGACCACCGCGTAGCCAAAATCTCAAAAACCCTAATGTATGTTCTGCGTCCATTTTTACAGGGAAAAAAAAAAGTTCAAGGGGGAAAGTCTCCCTTACAGTACTTTTGACCACCGCGTAGCCAAAATCTCAAAAACCCTAATGTATGTTCTGCGTCCATTTTTACAGGGAAAAAAAAAAGTTCAAGGGGAAAGTCTCCCTTACAGTACTTTTGACCACCGCGTAGCCAAAATCTCAAAAACCCTAATGTATGTTCTGCGTCCATTTTACAGGGGAAAAAAAAAATATACTAGTGGTTACACTGAACTTTTTTATTCAGTTCTACTAAAATTAATTATTTAAAAAAAATAACACAAAGTTGGTTACACTATATTTTATAAAATGTTTTCATTTTAATAGTCGATTGTTTTTTTTTTTTATTTTATGTTCAGTTACTAGTGATTAGCTGTTTGACGAAGTTGTATTTCATTCTCTTCAATTTTCTCATAATTTCATTAAATTGTTTTCAAGTTATTATAAATTTTTTCAAAAATGAATTTTCAAAAATGTACAAACGATGTCCAGTCATTGGTCAACCAAATACGATTCAATTCAACACCAGCATACCCAGAATTCTCCACGTTTTCCTCGAGATTAAAAACGTTCAAAACATTTCCATCAAATAGTACACAGAACAAATATAAATTGGCCGAGTCTGGGTTTAAGTATATAAGTGTCGATGACGCAGTTGAATGTCATTGGTGTTCAATAATTTTGCATGCCTTTGAATTCGGAGACGACATATTTCTTGAACATACACGGTTCTCACCAAAATGTATATTTGTATTATTAACGAAGGGAAATCAGTATGTGCAAAAAGTGTTAAGTAAATATTGTAAAATCGAAGTTATTTGTAATTGTGTAACCGATTCATACGATACCATTTGTTAAATCATGTTTTTATGTACTGTTTTATAATATATGATGTAATAAATAATAATAAATATTGAATTTTAAAAAATCAACTTATATATGCTAGTTTTGAATTTAATATCTCGTGGACGTATGGTTTAGTGGTTTAGTGCGTATAATTTAAATGTTTTTCAGGTTAGTAAGTATAATGTGTAATTCTCCCCTCCTAGTATGCACTAATCCACTAAGCTGTACGTTCACATTTTTTTGCATTTTTTTTTATCTAAGAGTGTAGTATATAATATGTTTACAAAGGAAAAACTCTCAGTTCAATGTATGACTCCATCAGTTATATCTAACTTTATATTTGTGTTAGACGTGAAAAAATCAAAATAAATATTTTAACTATTAAAATAAAGTTATCAAAATAATTCCACTATGAGTTCACCGATAATTGTCTGCAAGTCTACTTTTGACATCCGTGCTTACAACAAGAAAAGTATTACAGTTGGATTATTAATTAATAAGCAGATTTCAATTATTATAATTCTAGAATGTAAAATAACTAAAAAGAGTTTAAACCTTGATCTAGACCAATGGCTTTCATTAATGTGTGAAAATAATTATACATCAATTATTAATAATCTACAAAAACGATGTAAACGAGTAAGAATAACTGATAACTTAAGTTATTCTGTTAATGTGAAACAGTCTTCAATTATATTGCATTCTAATCAAATTATATAACATTCGCCCTTGTAGACCTGCAAAAGGTTGAAAACAAATTCAACAGTGTATTGAATTATATCTTAATTGAAAAACAAAAAAATTGCAATCTTATCAGAAGACCTATGACACAGCATATTCATTAATTTCAGCAGATGTTAACGGGTTACCCTCTTCTTGTCGACGGAATGAATTTACAATCATATATATTCAGATATGACTTAAGTTATAGTAATATGGAGTCGAACGATATTTCTTTTTGCAGAATTATTACAGTTTCATTATAACCATCTATCAGACATTATATTACAGACTTAGCAGTCTAATTTTTTTTAATTATTTGTTAACCCATAATTTATATTATTTTTGTACGTTTCATGATACTAAATAAGCATGTACAACAACTTTTAAAATAAATGTATGATTAATTTTTTTTTTCACATAAATAATAAAATGCCATGTATAAGTATATATTGATTTACATAGAATAATACAATAATTAATTCATATATAATGTGAGTGATGTATACATATTTTTCATAACCAGTATATTAAAACTAAACATTTTTATTTTGCATAGGTACCTATTATATATTCATATTTTTCTACGTCATTAATAAATATATTAATTAATTCTTTGATAATTTAGATCTTATTATCTTCCTCTTAGGATCAGACATAAGCGTGTAAAATTGTTTTTACGACCTCTGATAAATTATTCTTAAGCTCTTGATCTTTTTCTTCATCGGTTATCGTTACTTTAAGACTACATTCAGCTTCTTTCCATCTATAAAAAATTACATAAAAAATTTTAATATTATAAAAAAAATAAATAAATGTATTACAATTATTTTATATTAGGGAGATCAGGGTAAAGCGGATAGGTGGACAAAGTGAATAATGTTAATAACTTTTGGAAATATTGATGAGTAAATAATAATAATAATAATGTACATATAAGTTGTCAGCAATTTGTATCCATCTTTGGAGGGATAATGATTTATATCATTCACTAGTTTACATTTGCCATAAAATCGTTTATCCGAAAATAGTTAAGTTTCATATAGCACTAAACCCAAGTTCTTAAATCACATATATTTAATAAAAAAAAATCATGTTTATTTAAGAAAAAATCAATCTGGAAAAAGTGGAAATATTTTATTTTTATTTGATGAAGAAAATTTGAAAATAATAAAATAGATAATATAACGGAATATAATATGAAAAGATAATTTTTTATTTTATATGTTATGTAGTTGGTCTCATCTACAAAATATTTATATATTACAAGAGCTTTAATTATTTCCTACACTGACCAGAAAAAAAAATAATAAATTATAATATATTACCTGTTCTTGCTATCAACATTCTTAATATTTTTCACTTTATAGTGGCTCATGGTCCAGTACTCAGAAATTTTATCGTCAGTTGGAGATTTAACATTTATCAAATTATCACCTTGTTTTACCGTAATAGTATTTATGATATCAGTTTCAATTTTTTCATTTTTTAGCAAACTTTCAATATTATCCAAATATGAAATATTCTAGAACAAAAAAAAATTGTAATTTATTTTTACTATACTATAGATATTTTATTTACTTTTCTAATCGTTGTTTTTTTCTTATTCGATTTTACTTCTTTTTTGTTTTTACTCTGTTTGCTCGGTTTTTTGACTGGTTTAACCTCATTATCCATACTCTCATTATTAGAATCGTTCTGAAATTAAATAAAATTTGGTAACTGAAAATCTAGTAAAAATATATACACTGTACCTATTTATTTTAATTTGTAGATATAATATCAAACTAGCATAATTCAGTATTATACAAAAAATAAAAATATTGTATTTAATAATCTTCAAAATATAACTAATAAATATAAATTATATAAAAACATATTATTTTGTACTTACATCGCTTAGGATCATTGTCTCTTCGTCAGTGCTATTTAATGAGCTAACAAATGGCATTTTTAAAACAAAATTAAATATAGCTTTAAACAGTAGATATGTAGCTAAAATATATTGAGTGAATTTACTCTTGCTTCTTAAGTGTTTTGCTATTGACTGATCAATTTATAATTTAGCTGATGCATACTGAATGATTAATATGATATTAATCATATGAATAATTAATTCAGTTAATTTTCTCCTATATAACTTTAATCCTCATATATATATATATATATTCATAATTATCTTATTCTGCTATATTATTACGTGACTATAATTTGTATTAGCAGAATATTTTGTTCTGCTGTTGTTTTTTATTGTTATATTTATCACATTGATGTGCTATGTAGATAATATGATTCTAATAAATACATTATCGAATAATAGTTTCAGATTAACGACAATATTGGTATAATATGATTCTAATAAATACATTATCGAGTAATAGTTTCAGATAAACGAGAATTGGTATAAAGCTGGGTTTACACACAACAATAAATTGTAACGATTCAACTTATCGTTACGATTCACAGAAATTGATGCTGATCGACATCAATCATGTTCAATTCAAATAATCGCTACACCGCCTGGTGTCTATGATAATAGGAATTACAGTAGCGCGCGACCGATAGTCGTCCGTTAATATATAATATATATCACTACTCATATGAATATTTATTAGATACAACATTAAGAATATTGTAATTAAATTTTGTAGTGACCTTCCGCTGTAAATGTGAGAATATTGAGTGGGAACAATGGCCATCGATCGAGTCGATGAGATACCTAAAGAGAGTATCCCTAGACAGACGAACAGCCACCACCAGATAGCTAGAAGTCACATCTCGCTAGAACACTTTACATTCTATTTTAAAATAGTCATTTAGGCTTAACAGTTTTTTGAAGTGTGTATTAAATAACATCCTTCTGTAACACATTATATCGAACAACAGTCTCACAAAATATTATATTTCAACTTCTCAAAATAACAATGTAAGTACATATCATTAGTATAGATATTATTTTTACAAAAAAATATTAATATAGGTAGGTAGGTGTACGTTACAATGGAATGATTCAAACGAATACGTGCACATTATTATTGTATACGTGTACAATATTCAAATAAAATAAAATAGTTATAAATCTAACTTAATAATTTTTACAATTACTTTTTTAATAAACTAAATTATTTATCCTATTTTTTAGAAATGTAAACTTATGTAAAATTATTATATTTTTATATTC